ATATATATGTATATTTATATATATATATATGTATATTTATATATATATATATATATATATATATATATGGAAATTACCTTTACAGCCAATAATCCAAGAAAGCAGGGCTTGTCAAAAAGATGAGCCAACCACAAATGTTTTGTATCTCCCTAGTAACAATACGAAGCTGGTTAATATTTGATTGATGCATAATGGCAGAATTATAAGCTATGAAAGCGGACTTAACAGAAATATAACATGATGGATTAGTTCAACATACTGTAATGGTGTATAGCCTATACATGACATCATTCATTCCACCCGTTTCTTCGTTTAAAGATCGCCAGTGTCTTTCAATAGTGTACTTCGTAATCACATTTTCCACACGTTTGCGGAAATAGTCTGCCATCTGAGTCACCATTTTTAGAGCTTCACTGTTGCCAGCCAAAACATATTGATCCACTAGACCAGCCATTATCTGCTGGTTCCAAGAAATTAGGAACGGGATATGATAAAAGAGACAGACAAAATCTTTAAAACTGGTAAAATTTTACCTTGTGAATGGTGTAATATGGAGCCCAGACTTGCTTGATGGCTTCAAAACGGTCAAAAAACTCGGTTGGGAAAGCAGAGAGGTAGCCCGAGTCCATCTTTTCTTGACAGGCAGCGAGTGCTGATACCACTGCAGTCATCTTCTCTTTGAGAGTGTCATTATTGGTGCTAGCCCACATTTGAGCTGTGGCACTCAAGTAATGCCCTATATTTTCGAAAGAGATGTTACATTAGTGAAATTTTCATCATAGAAGAGGACTCATAATGATATTCAACAAAGTTATGAATCAAACTCATTATGCTATTCCCTTCAACGGCTAATAAATCCAAATGTAACTAGATTTATTGTACCGACAAAGGGATCAAGAAATGGCCTACAAGATTACCCTTCACATTTCATGGAAAGTTTCTTGCTATTAAGATAGAGGTCAGGTATGCATACATCTTACCCTCTCCGGGGCCCACCTCCACGTGGGGTATATTGGGTTCGTTTAGTTTGGCTTTCTCCATTAGGATAGGTGCACGACAAAAGGCTAAAAGTGCCTCCACACAAACACTTCGACTAATTTCTAGCATCATCATACTCCAAATTAGGTAAACTATACAAATTAAAGATACAAAACCCTGTGTCGTATTTTGAAACATGCGTACGTAAATAGGGAAGTTTGGTCACAAAAGGCAATATATCAAATAGAGAAATATGGCTGCATAAATAGAATGGGTTCCATATCAGAGAAAACAAAGGAATATGATCCATTGTATCACATAAATAGACACAAGTATAAACCAAATGATTCAAGTAACACTATTGAAGTACACCAACCTACGAAGTGACCACGAAGCTCTTGATTTGGTGATTCCCAACCTCCATAGGCAGTGGCAGGAGTCGGCAAACCGGCAGTCTTCCTAAAGCTCCAAACCAAACTATCAACATCCAACATCAACAAGTATTCCAAATTGGTTTGTTGAGCTTGACCGTGAATCGAATCAGGGTCCAATCTCACATCACCCAAAGGAATTTCATTCAAGAAATTCCCAGAAACACGAGACCTAACCCCGAGTTTTTTCATCTGTTTATACATCATCATCCAAGAATATTCATCTTCCTGTTTCAACACTTTCCTAGGGAGCAAACTGGCCCAAGCAGAATCATCAGTGGGAGTCAAATGGTTATGAAACAACCCCACCTCTTCTTTCCAAGTGACATTATCTGAATTCAGTAATTGGTACCGAAACGTATGCGACGAGAGCTCGGTTGGAATGTTGGTGCATTCCTTGCCCACAACACAATCACAAAACAAAAGCAAAAGCACAACAGCCAGCATCTTCAACAACATGAAGACTTCCATTGTGGTTTGAAGAAATATGAACACTTGGATAGCTTATATAAGAAATCACCAGACCCTATTATTGATATGAGTCAATAGCCATCTCAAATTCAATTGAAATACCTAATTTGTAACTACTTAAAGGATGATCAGTAATGAATAAGACATGTGACTGCCAAAACCGATAAAGTCTCGTGGAAGACAAAGCTTGTTAACTTCCGCAACAAAAAACGGAATTTGGGCAACAATTGAATCAATAATCATCATTCACAACCAAATCAGACACTCCGAAAACGAAATTCAGTGTGGGAAGATTACGATTTACGATCCCTTTTTATGGGATTTCTTCGAAAGTAAATAATTGGAGAAAGAAGAATGGATTATAAGAATTTACAGAGACTCAATTCCTTTTGTGGGAATTAATCATCAAAGAGGAATAATGTCGTCTAAGTTAAGAGATTCTCGATGCAGATGAAAGGTACAAGATACTAGAAGACAGGGGAAAAACTCACGGATGGGATGTCGTTATCTATGGAGGATTGATGACGAGAGTGAGTGAACATAAACAAATAGCTGTGATTGACAGAGAAAGAGATGGAACCAAATGGAGGTTTTCAGAATGAATTCAAAAATAGGGAATTTGTGATCCGAAAAAGGGTGAAGAATTAGGGTTTTCCTGATAAATATGTCGTGTTCTTTGCTCCCCGCCTTTTTGTTCGGTTTGTGAGGCTGGACATGGAACCACTCAGAGAGAGTCACTTTTTACAGTGCATTCCTCTGCTTCCAAATTGGGTGTTTGTGTGTGACAGTGTCAGGTCTGGATATATATATATATATATATATATATATATATATATATATATATTGAACATATTCTTTGTCTGTACATCTATAATGTAATATTAAATAGAAAAAATTACAGTTTTGGTCCCTAGGATTTTTAGTTTGTCTTGGTTTTAGTCTTTACAATTTTTTTTGTTACAGAATAGTCATTATGGTTTGTAATTTTGATTAGAATTAGTCACATTCAGTTAATGGTTCTTAATCTTAAGTCGTTAAATGAGAGGTATTTTGGTATATTTAATTTTTTTCTCATTTAAAAATATGATAATCGGGTTATTCGGTTATAAAATTTGGGGGTTTTTTGAAAAGCAATGATAAGTGAAAGGGTTTAATACGTTAATGTGCCTAAATTGTTTTAAAACTCCCACCACCTTATGTGATATAATTACTTTTCATTTAGATAATTGACATTATCTCATGTTATGTTGGAAAAGTCGGTGAGTATTTTGCCGGAGCCTGTTTAAGCAGAATCGAAAGGAAAGAAAGAAATATTTAAGTCTGTATTTATCAATATGAATATGTGTTGCTGTTTAGCTTTATCTTGCTGTGAATCTATAAGGTGAGTTTAATTTTACCAACTTTCCTTGTTTGAAAACTTGGTGTAGAACCGTATGGTTCTTTTTGTGAGTTGTTGTATATAAAACTGTTTTGATGCTATAATTAGCACAATTTGTGGGTTTTTGATATGTTTATATCATATGTGAAAATAAAGATGACATATCAAGAAAAATTGTATTTTGGGTTATAAGAGTGACATATCAAGCAGAGGTGTATATTGGGATAAGAATGACATATCAATGAGAGATGTATACCAGGATAAATGTGACATAATCATTGGGTTATGACTAATCAAATGAGGTATGATAATGATAAGTTATAGTTTGAATATTTATGAAAGATAAGCAGAGTGATTAATAATTTAGATCAAAAAACAATCAAAATATTTATCAAACCAGATATTTATTAAATTAAATGAACGATTGAAATTAATTTATATGAATAATACGAATTACACAATTTTATATTTATAATGCATTAATTCAGAATTCCATTAAAACGGTCTCATAGAAACCATTATTTTCCATTCCTAACCTCTCACATGCTCCATACTTGACCAATACCTTTCAAGGTTGCTTTTTGATCTCATAACGTGCACAGGGCGGGAAGAATTTACATTAAAGGGAGCCTTAAATATATTTATTTAAACACATAAATATAGATAATAATTTTTTAACGAGCACTCAACAAAATTGGGATAATTTCAAGGTAAATTCAACAACTAAACTACAAAACAACCAACTTTTCATAGGTAATTCGTTGGAAAAAGTTGTCACTGGTGGATATTTGACGGATCTCATTGCTAAAGAAAAATATGGCCCGTCGTCGTGATTACTGACGGATTTTCAATTTACGACAGAAAAAACCGTTGGTAATCCGCTAATGATAGTCATTCCGTTTGTAATTACCGTCGGTAAAACCTCTTTGTTTTGTAGTATAATCCTCAATTTTCAACCGTGAAATTTATGGAAAACCTTGATACTCACAACAAAATTTAAACCTTGGCTCACACCTTTTGACTTGATCTTAAACCTCATACCAAAGGTGAGGGTGTATGAAATGTGGAACTTTGTTGGTTAAGCTTGTTGTTAGCCGATAAACTAATCAGATTTGATGAAAACTAGTTAATAAGCTATATGACAATGTAAAATGATGTAAAATAACATATTGAAAACTAATTTGAATAGTATATAGGGGCATGAATGAAAAAAAAAACCCTCAAATACTTGTTGAAATCTACTTCAAGTAGCATTTCAATAAACTAGCTTATGACAAACTGAATCAGACTTGTACAATAAATTCAAAAAATAAGCTAGCTTATATGGGGTGTCATTCAAGGGAGAGCTCGGTTGTTTGTGACAACCGTGAGATCGAATTTCAACTACATATTATTAATAATAAAAAACAAGCTAACTTACCTAGTTGTCAAAAATGACTTGAACATCAAGAGAAATTTTATAAGAGCCTTGTAAACAAAACCCTGATGAAAATCCCAAGAAAGTTTGTCCAAAATGGCAGAGGTGAGCGTCGGTGACAAGCATGTGATGTTCAGTGCGTGCCTACTGCTTCGTGCCCATCGATGATGTCAAATATATATATGTACTCCTTTGTTTTTTCTATAATGGGTCTTTTCATTTAAACACAGGGGAAACCTCGGCCTACCGTGACACCAAGGTGGCCCCCTAAACGTACGTTTACGAAACCATCATTTAATTCTGAGTTTATATCTAAATGTTCGTTTTCATCATATACTTCACAATTTCAGTTGAAAGTTTTACTTCGAGGATTTTTCTACTGATTCTCTAGGTCTTCTGAGAAATTGGGACTAATCAAGATACGTAACAAACTGATTTATTTCTAGCCGTTCATATCATATGCACCATATTAGTGGGAAGGTCCAATAAACGATGTGGGTGAGAAAGGAAAGGGATATCAGCACAACTTGTTCGATCATGAAGACATGATACCCCCACAACCTCAATTATCCATCGCTTTAGACTTATGACCATCGAGCTTTTAACTCCACTTTGCTGCCAAATTCCATCGCATTAACTTGTCCATTAAAGTCCCATTTTTTATGGTATTTTAAACGTAAACTTCAAGTAAAATTGCATGCTTTTCATTTAATTTCAACTCCGAGTGAAATTAATATTCTATTTTATTAAATATTCTCGCAAAGACATATAAAAGCAAAGGAAGACTTTCTTGAACACATACATCAGTTGTTCATGAGTAATCATCATAAATATCATGATAAAATACTCATGATAAATATCGTGATAGATATTCATATCTATATTATCTTATTAAACAAGTTTAACAAAAGTCTTAAAGTCTTAAAATATTAAATGACCAAGATACCATTTATACCACCCTTACTCACTTTTTCACTTTTCACCCCCTCCTCTCCTCACATACACTCACCCTCTCACAACCGATTTTTTTAAAATTATAATTTTAAATTTACACTTTATATCCTTATAATTAGTTAATTAATTTATTTTACGTCATTTACTTTTAAATGTTTCATTTTAAACCTTTATCAAATTAACATACATAATCGTATACAAATTAAAACATGTTTAAAAAATACTTTTTTATTTTAACAAGTTAAACCATTATAATCTTCTCGTTAATACATTCGAAATGAGTCCAATATTTAATAGTTTTTGACTTAATTATATTATTATATATTATATATACTATGAAAAAATATTTTTAATATTTACGATTTATACTTTTATAGTTATTTATTTATATATATATATATATACACATTATATTTTGGGGTTAGGTTGTCCAAATTGCACTGTATAATATATTCTAAATTAATATGTTCTTGAGTTTTTTTGAAATATATATATATATATATATATATATATATACATGTATTAATTCAACCTTAATATGAGTTTCTAGACAAGAATGAGGGTAAACAGTTGAAATTTCATTCTAAAACTCATCTTTTTTGGTCTTTTCATGGCTTATGATCTGTCAAATTTGTAGTTTTCTTTATTGGTTTTGAGTGTTTATCTTAAAACTCAAGTTTTTTGATTTCGCTCTTGGTGTAAATCGAACACATTTGTGGAGTCGTTTAAATATGTTGGATTTTAAATATATTTAATTTTAAACTGTCATACAATTTTTTTTGTCGATAGTCTGTAATTGGAACCATAACTCTTATTTATTAAAATTGTATTAATATGTAAAGACCAAGTGTAAACTATATCATCGTTAAATCTTATCTTATAAAACCAGTGGAACTTCAAAATCGTTAAAATTCATGGCTCCCGCCGTATTACGCGGGTACACAACTAGTTTATAATGAATGATATTTATCATGAATACTCATAAAATAGGTGGTTATTAAGTACTTAAAATATTTAAGGTTCCTAAATGAGTTCATTCACACACACATGTATATATATATACACACACACGTCTTTTCTATACTATATTATAAAGCATTTGACAAAAACTCTTAAAACTCATTTTTCATGCATGAAGTACTATTTATTAATGCATATTACTTAAAATTTAAAAATACAAGTAAATTATGCATAAGTACAACTTATTAAAGCTCTAT